GCCCCCCTTCCCCCCCCCTCCCCTTCCCTCCCCTCCCAGCCTGGAGACCGATACTGAAACCTTTTGTTCAGAGCGGCACGATAAGAGGCGCCGACGCAGGGGCAGCCTCGCCTGGAGGGCGGGGAGGAGGAGGCCCTGTCTGGGACGCCATGACTTGAGAAGGGCCGCTGAAGCCCACTCCCCCTCCTCTCTCCGGAGACCTGGCCACGCCTTTTCTCTTTGTCACCGCCGAGCGGCGCTTCCCGATTGGACGGGAGAAGCCGAAGCTCGATATCTCTTTAAAAAAAGCCTCCCGCCGCGGCCTCCTAATTGTGTTGCAGGAAGTGTCATAAGGACGAGGGAGCGGAGGAAGGGGGGTGGGAATTGGGGAGTCGCACCGGGCGGCTTCTCAGCTGATCAAGCCCATGACGGGAGGCGGAAGTGCCGCCTAGCTATGGACGACGCCGGAGTTTTCTAGGGGAAAAATCTGCCGCTCTGTCTCTCTCTCTCACAAATGTTGTCCCTGAGCTGCTGCTGCTCCAGGTTTCTGGGAGGAAAGTGGGGGTGGATTGTTTAATTGCAGTTAAAATCTAAAAGGATTCTGGGCCACAATTTCATAGTAAATTAAATATTAATCAGTCTGAATATTTTATTTTCTTTAAATTAAATGTACAGTTGTTTAACCACAATTTTTAAAAAAGTGAAGATAAAGATTCCCCCCCTTTTTAAAAAATATATATATATATTTAAAGGAACCCCTTGCTTTCTGCCTCCGTTTGCTAAGCTGGGGGGCAGCTGGCCAGGCAAAGGGAAAAAAATCGCATTGCCACCCGGTTCCCAGGTAGCCCATCTCACTTGCCCAGGGCAAAAAAAGATCTCTAATTATTTAAAGGAGCCGGGGCCGTTTCTCGCTCCCCCCGACCCCCCACACACCGTGTCCTCTCTTGAGGAAACCTTGGCCAAGGCGGAGAGGTTAATGTTTTCCAGCCTCGAGGGAGGGGAGGGGAAAGGAAGGGGAAGTTCTGCGGCAGGGCTGTCTGGCTCAGCTTTCCCAGGCAGCCTGAGATGAAATCATTTTCGGGGGCGTTGGCATGGCATCCTTCAAGACTTTCGGGCAGGCTGGGCAGAGAGAAGACGAGGAGCATGGAGGCGACTTGGACCGATCTCTCCAGCAGATGCTTCGGGCGATAGTGGAGGAGAGAAACCGTATTAACATCCGTCACGAGATCAGCGGGCTTGGTGAGTGAGTGGGCGGTGGCTTTGGAGCTGGGGAGGATGATAGGGGTGGACTGGAGACCCCTGCAGCTTCTGGTACAAAAGACCGCTCTCTGCTCCGATGCGCTTCCCTATCGGTTTGCAGTGGCGAGCTGGATTGGTCGTGCTTCGCTGTTATGAGTCTCCCCGTTTTAATATTGGCTCCGTCCTTTTGTCTTTGAACAAAGTACTTTGGTGTCTACATAGAACTTGGCAGCTATAAATTGTCATGTCGTGGGGTGATAAAGGAACGGGGAGACCGAAGTTGGTGGCTTAAATTTCTGTAGCTGTGGAGGCGATTGTTAAAGGAACAGGAGGAATAAGATCGGTGTTTTCCAGAAGTGGCCACCTGAGCGTTGGCATGTTTGGCTGTTTCGCTTTTTGGGGGGCACTGATGGAAAGGATTTGTGCTTAATTTCTAGAAAACGAGAATGGGAACGCTGTTCTCCGACTGGAAACCCTTCACCTTAATGTGAGGGGAACTCCCTGGTGAACTCTGCACTTGCTCAAGGGCACGATGATCTTTTCTTACTTGCAGGGCTTTAGTGCTGGGATTGGACCCCAGTTACTGGAGGTAACGTTAAGCCCTTGAAAGACTCCCTTGGATTCTTGTCCTGCAACAACAATAATACTGACTTGAAAGAATGGGAATTCTAGTAGATAGATGCAGGACAAAGTGCCTCTAATTCAGTTCTTATCTGTTCAAGGCACAGTCCCAGTTTTCATCACCATGTCATATTTGGATCTGTTGTAATACATTGCCATTGATAAGCTGTCATATTCAAAGGGGTTTATATTCATTGTCTTTTTCTGGATCAGATAATTCACAGTACGCTGCCATCGCTTGTTTGGTTCCTGGAGTTATTTGTTTTTTGTGAGAATCAGTACTCTGTTGATTATTAAAAGGGCTTATAAATATCCCAGTGGTAAGTACATGCTAAAGAGCAAACTAACCCATTTAGAACACTTAGAATATGTAACCTCAGGTTACTATGTAATAGGTGGATCTTAGAAACCCAATGTTCTTGCTGTTTTTAATTGAAGGCACCAGGACCAGGAGCTCATCAGTCTGAGGTTTTTACAGTTTCCTTCCCCATTGCTTTCCAGTTTCTAATTATTTTGTGTATTACAGTTAATTTGTGAATGTCTCCTAATCTTGGGGTTGGTTGAGAAACCCTAGTAGGAAGCAAAGTTTGTTTTGTGTGTCTGTGGCTGTGTTGACCCGTGGTCTATTCCTTGGAAAGAAAGAGTTAGTTGACTTGTAAGGCAAAGGTGCCACTGTGAATTGTAAGAGTCCTAGTTTTATTTTCCTTGTAAACTATCATTGTGCCATGAATGACTAAAATAGGTGTGTTTGAGCTACTGAAGTTTTTGTTAGGCTGGTAACTAAAAAGATGAAAGAAGACTAGAAAGGGTCTTCCTGATGGCTCACTGGAAAATGCTACAGCGTCTCTTAACCTGAAATCAACACACATTGGTTTTCAGTATTAATTCCCTACTACCTTTGATTGCTCTAACCTGAATAACTAGCTTTTCCTCTGTTCAAATTACATTTTTCATTGCCCACTTGTCTTTTCTCTGACTGATGGCTGTGATAAATGGTGCATGGATCCCATTGTTTGAAACACCAGAATGCAGGCATGTTTAGATGTGTGGATTGCCTAACAGCAGAATCTCTCACGGCTCATGAGAGTAATCCATTGCCATCTGTGAAGGAATTTAATAAAGAAGCATTGACTTAGTTTCTCTGGGAAAATCCAAACAAAGCCATATCTTTATGCAGAGAGAATAAGGCTTGTTATGTTTTGGTTTACAAAATGCAATGTAAACAAGTTGCCACTTTCTCCCATTCCCAGAAAAGGAATCAGGCCTTTGTTCACTAAACTGGAATCTGTTGTTTTATTCTGTGTTTGTCCAACACCTGTTGTACATTCTGCAGATTTATATCATTATAGGATCTAGCCTAATCTTCATGTAATTAGTTTAAGAGCTTAAAATCTTGATCTGTCTTCTATTCCTTCCAGTGTTCATTGAAGGAGTTAGTCAAAAACTCATGCAGACATGCTTTTCCAAATCTTGTAAGTAAATTTCTGTGGAGCAGTGTTGTTTTTTAAACTGTACCTCAGGAACATTTTGGGTTTTCCAAAGCTAAAACTTGAGAATGGAAAATAAGTTTTCCTGGGAAGCCAGTTTCTCTATGGCTAGCAAAGTAGTGTAGATTTTAGGTACTCTTTATATTTCTAAAGGCAGTGTTGAAGCCCAAGAGTTCCACGAGTAATGAACTACTTACAGGATTGGGAAACCCTAGAGTATTTCCCAGAATCCTTTCTGGCAGGAGAGATTCCATGGCATGAGCGTAAGGATTCCTTTTATTTATTTATTAGTTAACATTTATACCCCACCCTTCTTCCAATGAGCTCAAAATTGTAGACATGACGCCCCCTCTTCTCACTGTTCCTTACAACAGCCCTGTGAGATGAGCGAGTCTGAGTGTAACTGGCCTAAGGCCACCCAGTTAAGTTTCATGACCAAGAAAATATTTGAACCCAGGTCTTCTGACTCATAGTCCAACACTCTATCCACTACCCCAAACTGGTTCTTTTGACAAGTGGATAGTATCTCCTCAAAGCTGGGAGTTTAAAAACCACAGGTAGACAGAAGTGTATAAGCTGCCTTGAGTGCTTTCTTTTAGTGGAAGGGCAGGCTATAAATACAATTATTATTAATAATAATAATTAAATCAAGATTTGCCTGCTATCATTCCAGCAGCCCTTTATTTGAACAGAGTCGTCAACCCTTCTGTAAGATTGCCTCTGAAATCCCATTGTGGTTCCTAGGGTATTGCAGTGGACCATATTTCAGTAGTGGTCTTTATACCTGATCTTGGTCCTTGGTTTGATGGTGCAATTATTATAGGATTAAGACTGTTTTTGCCTGTTGCAGGCAATGTGTGGTTGCTTAGCTATACGAAGAGTCGGAGACGACTTGACAACTGCCAGTTGTGCCTTGAAACCACATGTTGATTGCATCATTTTATTCCTTTGTTCAGCTTTTCTTCCTAACTGACTTTTCAGACCTTTCCAGCCCTTAATAGGAGACTTCATTCATCTTGTCACCAAATGCCCTGTGGAACTCCTTTTGGAAATCGATACTAAAGTTTCTTTAGCCTTGTCTCTAACTGTGACTGATACCAGAAGCTCCTTTAGAAGAAATTTTAAAAAGTCAGCCTGAGATAATGTATCTGGCCTAACCCAATTCTTTGCAAACATATTGTGAAATAACTACTGAGGAATTAAAGAAGAGCAACATGGATTCTGAATGCAGTTGTGGTCTCTGATAAAATGACTCATCTTATGTACTAAATTTTGCTCTGGCATAAGGGTGGTAATATTCCTGCATAAGAATGGATGAATGTTAACATTTCTGTAACGTGCATAGAAACAGTTATTTAATATATAGAACATATTTCTTTGTCTCCTTTCATGTCCAATCTTCCCAAGGCAGCTTACAATATAAACACAGTTTGCTTCAATATTCAAAAAAATTTAAAAGAACTTTAAACATCAATTTTAAGTAAGCCAGTTACGATCAATTACAATTAAGTACTTTAAATACTTCAGCATACTAAGTTGCATGGTAGGCCCATTAGAATCAGTGGAACTCACCCTGGATTTAACTCATCAAATCCCCAGTGGGCCTGCTTCAGTGTGACTTACTACACTAAGGAACAGGTACTTAGCCAATATATTTAAGATTTTGCTTTTGAAGTAAGAGCAAAGACGAGTGTGATATCATTTCAAATAAATCATAGTAGCCTTCTTCACTCAGTCTGAGACTGGCTGCCCTGCCCCCATCCCATCATCGCATTTGTATATGGCAGAGATCCGTTTTATCATGTCAACATCTGAGTCTACCACTTTAATTACTCATTCCTTTGCTTCTGCTAAACTGCCCAGTCTTTAAATTGTTTTTTAAAAGGAATCCATATGTTAATCTTTTATTTGTGTAGCTTTAAGGACTAAAATTTGTTCTTCAAAAACAGAGTTAGGAAAGGGAGGGATATTCTTTAGATATTAAACCAGATGACTACGGCTGTATAAAGTGCTTTTGTAAAATGGTGGTCTTCCTGCTATCTGTCCTATGTGGTTTGGCTCATAAATCTCCCAGTTTGACCATATCAGTGAACCTGGCTCCCGGTGGGACTCTGAAATAATTTGACAATGACTGTGCACCTTCCTGTAATGCAGGGGTGAATACGTCTAATTTTAAGATAAATTGGTGTTTATGAAAATTGCTGCCTTTTATCAGTGGTTTCAGAACATATAAAGAAGCAACAGACAGAAATGCCATTAAACTCTTTGATTTAAGATAGCTATGTCTGAAAATGTCTGGGTAATTTTAAGAAGTTTAAAATGGTAACAAAAAGACTGCAAAGTTGGCACCACATCTGCCTCCGCAAAAGCAGCAGTTTAAGTTGAGCTGCGCAGTGAGTATATGTAGTCAGCATGTTATCTGAGTTACACTTAATATATACGTATTTAGAAACCCTAGAATATTTCCCAGAATCCTTTCTGGCAAGAGAGGTTCCATGGCATGAGCATGGGAATTCCTTGTATTTATTTATTAGTTGCCATTTATATCCCACCTTTCTTCCAATAAGCTCAAAATGGTAGACATGACTCCCCCTCTCCCCACTGTTCCTTACAACAACACTGTGAAGTGAGTGAGTCTATTCATGCATTTAATTTGGCTTTGAGCTGTTGGAGCAAATGTTGCTTGCTTATTGTTCAAATGGTTAGCAAAGCTGAAACCCAAATACCCAACTTCCTCCATTTTCAGCCTGAGAAAAAGCCTATCGGGAAGGATACATCCCATCAAGTATGTTAGAAACTAAATGTGATGTCTCATTATAAGCCTGCAGCAAGATTTGTACTGCAACAACAGCCTTATTTGGATAGTCATGACTTTGATTATGGCTATCCTGA